TGACTTCCTTGTTTATTTGGCTTAAATCATAGTGAGGAAATGAAGCTGTCATCTGGCTTATACCTTGAGCAACAATCTCATGGTAGAATCCATCCTCTGTTGGTCCTATCTTTAGTGAATAGGAACCATATTTAGTCCAAATCTTTCCTCCTCCAACTACACCAATAGAAACAGATTCATCTGATACTGCTTTTAAGCTAATATCTTATGCCAATTATCCATCGATTAGGTGCTGATTTGCACCCCTATCGAAGAAGGCAAGTACATCTCTACCCCTCAAATTCAACAGTTGCATGACATAAACTGATTCATGATCTGACTCTGGAATAGTTTGGCTTTCAGAGACCTTGACATCTTCTCCTGAGTAGGTGTTGATGGCAGGAGTTTCGACACTTGGATCGTTTTGCTTGGTTACTGTCTTAGGCTTGCATTTACAATCTCTTGTTGTGCACTTAGAACATTTTTCGAGATGGGCCGCCATGTAGAGATGAGCAGCAAGTTTTATGGGTCCCTGAACCTTGTTTGGGTTAAAATTAACCAGATACTTCTTCAACATTCCAGTCAACGTCTTATCATCAGGTTTAGTGTGATCATTTCTTTTGCAGAAAAGAATATTTGATGCAGATTTTCCATTCTGATCAGCCCATGACTTGCATTCAATGCATAACAAATCAGAGGGTACCTTATTTTTACAACCTCCTTTACATCCTTCAAACAAACCCAGGCATGTGAAACAGTTCTGTCTCATGGCCAATTGTTTTCTGGCGGTTGGAGATTTAGCGAAGAACTCCTGACACTCCCCTAATTCATGGGTGTGGTTTTTCAGACAACATGGATACTTGAATTTCTTCTCTGAGTCTTGAGTTTTGTCTTGTTTTCCCTTTTGAGTTGGACTTTTCTTCTGGAAGTGGGCAGAAACTGAGTGTGACTCATCTTCAGAAGTACCTTGATATTCAATATCAACAGAATGAACAGTCTTTTTAATCCCAGGTGAAATAATTTTTTCGGGTTTAGAATTCCTAGGAATTTTGCTCAATGAGGCTGCAGTGTCATCCTTAGTAGATGAGTCATTTAATTCAAATCTCTTGAAAACAGTTGCTGCAAGTATAGAGAAGGACTTTGCCCCTCTAACTCTCCTATAATCTTCATTTTCAGACATGAGTTCCTGTCTGAACGCAAATTAGCCCTTTGCAGAACAAAACCTAGAAGTTTGGAGATAAACTCACTTGAGTAAATGTGAGCGTTCAGCTCTTCTGCAGGCATGTTTACAGTCTTGTTGAGCTCCTTAATTTTGATCAAAACAGAGTTCAACTTCCTGTAATAATTTGTAACAGTCACTGAAGAAATTGCATCATCAGGAATCGTTTCCTTTGCTAATTTCTTCAGGATATTATCGGTTATGACTTTAACGTCACCAAACCTTTCAATTAGCCATTTCCTCATTTCTGTATAATTCTCCTTCATTTCATGAAATTCCATTTGGACATTCTCATGAAGGTAATGTTCAAAGAGCAGTGTAGCTCTTTCTTTAGCTGAACCTTGCTCCTCAGTGTAAGCTTCAAACTTTTTTAAGAATTCAAAGATGTTGACTTCAGAGTTTTCACTAAATCTCTTTAGATCTTCATAGAATTTCTTATCTAGTGGCTTCTTACTACAGTCTAGCTCATGATGTTTTTCATGCATGCCTCTTGACCAAATCTTGGCTTCTTGGACGATATCCTCCATCTCATCCAGAAGATCATAATCAGGGGATCCAGATTTTCCAGATTCATATTTTTCTATTAGGTGAGAAACCTCTTTCCTTTCTGCATCTACTGCAGGAAGTAAACTTGTATGTATACTTTGTACAATAGCTTTAGTAAGGCTATCATCAACAGGTGGTTTCAACATCAGTTGAAGGTTCTTCCCAGCTCGCTTCAGTCTTTTCCCTAGTCTAGATTCTCCATCTTTAGATGTATCTACAGAGCTGTTAGGTGAAAAGCTTTCTTCTCCTCTACTATTCGAGTTCACTCCTCTCCCAGTAGGTTTATCAAAGCTCACTTGTGATCTCATTTCAACACTATTGTTGTTCAAAATATTTTGGAATTCAACTCTTGAAGGGTTTGGCAATATTGCACTGGATACCTGAACTGTTGGTTGCCTAACTACATTTTGGAATGCATTTTGATTATTTTGGGGTATTAAGCTAATATGAGGCTGAATTCCCATTCCATTTGCATCACATGTAATTGGCACTGCATTTGGGTTGTCGTATGATTCACAAGATCTGCCATAATAAAGTGAACCATGGTTATGGTTACTCATCACTGTGGTTGTGGAGAATGAAGCAACACCTTGAGTGTTTAACAATGTAGTTACACTTGGTGTTGGTATCCGGTATATTCCAGTTATAGCTTGATCCACATAGCTAGATCCTCTCATCTCAGAAGGTTGGGCCATTACCTCTTCACTTTCCACAGGTTCATCAACAAGAGGGTTANGGTAGTCGTTAACGATCGTTAACGAAGGGTAGTCGTTAACGATCGTTAACAAAACGACGAACTTTATAAAAACGATCGTTTTGAAAAACGATCGTTTTTTTAAACGATCGTTTTTTATAACGATCGTTTAAAAAACGACAGTTTTTAAAAAACGAACTTTTTAAAAAAACGATCGTTTTTAAAAACGATCGTTTCGTTTTTCGATTTTCCTCGACGTTTTCTTAACGAAACGATCGTTTTTTTCAAAAATCAAAACGTTACCAACCCTAGCAGTGCCCATTTCTAATTTCTTCACTTTCAAATTCAGATTTCTAATAAGTTGAGGGAATGAGCTTCTTGAATTAAGGTTCTGTTGGGATCCTCATCAGAGCTCAGCAAATCAGTAGTACTTGATTTTCTTCTGTCAGGGATATTTCCAACTGTACTGTTAGGTTGAAGAAGAGATTCCCTAAGAAGGAAAGGGATACCTTGCTTTTGTTTATCTGCATCTGCAAAGGACCTCAATCTCTTGGTTTGGTTCTCCAATTCTGAGGTCAACAGATAACTTTGTTCCAATTGGTCTAAATACTGACCATTCATACAAATTTCAGACACTTTTGACAGCTGAATGAATAATTCTGCGGACTGTTTTTCAAATTTGTCAATCCATTCAACATTTGACATGTAATCTGACCCATAATTTTCTATTTCCTCTCTGAGATGACCAATGAATTCATCTATGTCATTAGTGGACGGATTTCCAGGAAGGATGTGTCTATGCGCAGATATTCCTGTTAAGTGATGATTAACACCAGCTCCATAGGGAGTGTTGCTAATATTTAAATCAATGCTTTGGGCATCTCCAGTTTCAATATCAGATCTAGGGGATCTACTTCCAGAGAAACTTGATGGTGTCAGGGGTACTTCTGGTTGTAGTGGGTTTCTTCCTGGTACCAGGGAATGGTTGGGATTTGTAATCCATCTTTCCCTAAGTTTAGCTCCAGGATTTTTTCTAAATGTATTTAGTACTATGCCCTGAAGGTGGATACCAGACACATTACTGTTGAAATTATTTGTTTGGGATTCCTGACTCCCCTCTGCTCCAGGATTAAGAACAGAGGCTGCTGATGGGGTACTCGCATCCAGTGGTAATTCAACATTTGTTGGTGTAGCTTCAATGATGGTATCATTCAAGTTTTCAATTTCTTCAAGCTCAGATGTTTTTCTAGAGTTTCTTGTTTGTCTGCTCATTTTACTTGAAGATTTTCAACCAAAGACTAAATAATATCTAGCACACAGCCCATCCAGTAAACAACTTAAATTTTGCCATACCAGATTACTGCTTTATTTATTATTTTTTTTCATCTTATGGTTTTGTTCAGATACAGAGAGATTTTGCAAGGTTAACTTTGAATAGCTTAATATGAGGTTACTTATATAGTTAAGCCTGTCCTCTTAGATAATAGTAACTGTGCTAAAAAAGCATTGAAAGCAATGTTTCGCGAGTGTTTTAGTACCTTACTTGGACCTCGCTAAGTATCCAAGTTAGTTTTAGCTATTCAAAGACCTTCCAATTCTCTCTCTCTCTTTATCCTAGTTTTTTTCTACCTAGCCATCTTTCTCCCTTCCCCTTGAATCAACACTTGGGTCTTCTCTCTTTATTCTTGATCCCATAATAGAGTTGCTAAAAATACAGGGGGTTAATTTTATGAACACACATATTTTTAGGAATGTATAAAATTAAACATGAAGAACAAGATTTAGATTGGACTTTTTTCAATTCTTTGTGAAGAAAATAAATAAAAACCTTTCAGTGCAGGTATCAGGTTACAGATACTTTAGTGGAAATAATCACTACATTTTGTATTCTGTAATTATTTGATTTGAAAATCAATCATGATTTGCTTTAGGGAAAGTTGACATATTAATAATTCAATGGAAAAAGCTTTGATATAAATATTGCTTCCTGAGGCTTTCTCTCTCCTCCTCTTTATACAGGAACATGAAAAATATAGATATAGTTAGAAAAGCATAATTTTATGCAGAACAATGCCCATATTCTATTTCAACTTTTTACTGTGGCTTTATCTGTAAGCACATCTTCTCTTGGTACAGTATAAAACAAAACTAAAAAAAAGTTTGTGGATTTCATAATATTTGTTTGCACATTTTGAAATTTTACAAAAGTAGAAAATCTTTTAAGCACAAGTTTTTAAAATTTTGATCATTCATAAACCTTCCCTGGGATCACATGAGGTCCCACACAAAATTTGGGCCTGATGGGTTAAGCTGTTTGACGTTTATTGGACACAAACAGACAAGCCAAATTTACAAATAGACAAAAAGCATTTAGTTTAAAACATTTTTTTGGATCTCACTTCAGTTTTTAATAGTTTTTTCTTTAAACAATTTTTGTATTTTTTTCAAGATTATCACTGAATGAATCACCTCAATCTTGGATTAGCACAATTACTTGCTTCATTCTTAATCAAAAACTTTTTTTTGAAATATAAACTTAACAAGCTTTACAAGCATAATTATTTTTATTATTATTTTAACATAATAACATAGTGTTATGTTAGTGAGTTTGTGTTCAGATTTTTAATCAAATAGCATATTGATGTAGCTTGACTTGAAACCTCCCAAAAGGCTGAAAAAAAGAATCATATTATTAGAATATCTGGTATCTATAACAACATTCCTTCCTTACCTTTCCTTCACTTCTTTTATTGTAACTCCATTTTGAAACATGTAACAATAACCACTCCACACCCAACCCTAGGAGCATATTCATGAACCTAAATTTAATGGGGGAAGTCTTGCAATAAGACATTTATCCTTGATTTCATGAAATGCCAAATTAAGACAACCACCTTACACTTGGTCTCTTTCTCACAGAGCTGTTGACACTCATCTTCATTTGATACTGTTGTAACATACCAATTGCTACCAGGCTGCAGGTCAACATTCATCTAGAATAAGTCACTAGAGTCTAAACTAAAGAATGCGCGAGATTTCAATTTTAATTTGCCGAAATCAATGGGTTAAATACTTATGTATAGCTAGCTAAAAATTGCAATTTAAATTAAGTCAGAAGGGGTCAGGGGCGGATTTTAAGCTGCAACTTAACATGAAAGCTGTAACTTTTTGTTCTTTAGTTTTAGACACAGAGCTGAAAACGCTTGTATCAGATACCCCAATGTCTTAATCTCTATGTCCATTGCTGACACTTATAATTTTTAGCTTAATCTCAATTTTGGATTTCCTGGCTGGATTGCAACCAATGGAGTTCTTGCATTGATTGTGTGCGCAAAATTAAAAACTTTTTGGCTTTTGATTGGTTGTTCAAATTCTACAATCAACACTAATTGATTGAATTTTATACATTTTCCAGGATAGAAGCTAAAGATTAATTAATCTGTTTATTGTATCAAGAAAAGTGTATACATTTCCATTAATCAGATAGGTGTTTGTAGAAACCTGAACAGAAAGTGGAGAAATTAAGAAATTTTCGTGCACAATCAGTGAGAGAAAGATGAAAAGAAGATTAATCAAGAGTTTTTGTTCTGTTTCTTAAAATTTTTACTATTTTTAAACTTTAATAATTAGATAATGAGGAATGGGGGGAATTTCAGACCATTTAATTTTTACTAATGTTGAACATCAGAGTCCAAATTTAAAGAATTATACCGTGTTGCTGAACCACCAAAAAGTAAAAACCGATTCTAATTAAGTGCCAGCTCAAATTTGGAAAGTGTAACAAACCAAAATGAACCAAGAATTTTGTTATTAAAAAGGAAAGTTATTTCCTCAGATTTCTTTGACACTATGTTAACAACGTACATTTTGCTTGACCCACCCTTTATAATAATTAAAAACATAAAACATACTTCTTATGATTAGAACTAATAATTATTTTTTACTTTGTTACTTACATGCATTGGATTTCCAATTATACTATTCAAAGAGCATTTATACCCTACTTCACACTCAACTGATGGGTAACTAAATAAAGTATTTAACACTAGGATATCTTATATTAATGAAGTTGAATTAATATCTCTTCAATTTTAATGGGAAAACTTAAATGATGTTAAGTGGTGTACGGTAGTATTTTCAACAATCCTTATACACAATGTAATATGTAGATACTGTGTAAGACAAAACTGTAAGCAAGGTGTATAGAATCTAAATAGAATGTAAATATGTTTCTAAACCATATCATTAAATACTACTGCATTCTTGTACCTGCATGAAGTACTATTGATGGTCAGTAGTCCTCTAGTCCCTGTTGTAACACCAACAAATGGGTTTTCCAGATTTTTCTGTAAGCTTATCACTGAATTCAGCTGTAAGACTTATTTTACTTTTCAACACAAATTGAATCTTGTGAAATTATTTAACAGAGGTCAAAAGTTAAGTGTCTTAGTGATGCCTTAAAGGGACTGAAAAGGAAAAATGAAAGGGGGTAAAGGCTGAAAGCTTATCACTTTAGCTCTTGATCGAGACCCATGAAAGTTTTATCTTATGTTCCTGTCTCTATAAATTGATATAAAACTGTGTTAAAATTATACAAAAATCCATATATGTAAAATTTTGAAAATCAGAACTATCACCAATGGCAGAGCAGTATACTGGTCATGTGTCTCTGCCTGTCTCACATGACCACTTTACTGCACTGCCATTGGTGGAATTTCTGGTCAAGTAATATGGACGTATAAATAATATTATGAATGAAATCTATTAAAAATAAAAATAACAAATATAAAAGTAAACCTAATTTACAGTTAGCTTTCTCTGGGATATCATCGTTTTCAGATTGGTTGCTTATTGTTCGCGAAAAATGAAAGGGGGTATAGGCTTAATGCGATAAAAAAGCGCTTTTGATCGCCAATAATCTTACTTCTATCTGTTGCGTCTATAAAGAGAAAATTGTAAAAGACGTCTCATACCGAATAACATGGCGTCCATACAAATTGAGAAAATTGCAACATACGATTTACACCGTAAAAAAATCAATTTAATTTCAAACAAATCATTCAGATATTACAACCTATAGTCATCGATTATCTTTCGCCACATTTATATATAGTTGATTTTTCATAATATGTTTTAATTGTTATGATCTGAGAGTTACTTATAAAAACGTTTATTCTTGTTTCGAGGATTTTTGGTAATGAAGACGACATTTTCATATTTTCCAGGAATGTTGGAAAACAAGTTGTAAGCTAAGTTTTATTTTAAAAAACAAAATCAAAACTAGTATGAAATATTAAATAAAGACAAATGTGGCGAAAAATAATCGATGACCATAGGTTGTAATATCTGAATGATTTGTTTGATATTAATTTGATTTTTTTACGGTCTAAGTCGTATGTTCCAACTTCCTCAATTTGTATGGGCGCTACGCTCTTCGGTATGAGACGTCTTTATCAATTTTCTCCTTATAGACGCAACAGATAGAAGTAAGATTAGTAGCGATCAAAAGCGCTTTTTTATCGCATTAAGCCTATACCCCCTTTCATTTTTCGCGAACACTCCCTTTAAACCTACTACTTTTACACAAAATTGTATATATATTAATTTTCGTATAAATTTGACAAAGTTGTATATCAATTTCTCGAGACAGGAACATCAGATATGACTTTCATGGGTCGCCATCGAGAGCTAAGGTGATTAGCTTTCAGCCTATACCCCCTTTCATTTTTCCTTTATACAGTCCCTTTAATCTTAGACTTAGGTAACCTTAGTTGTGCCTGAAATGAAAAACTTTATCTGATTTAACAAAGTAAATCTAATTTTTAAAGTATTTCCACTGAATATCAAGCTCAGTTGCTGAAGCTTGAGATACACAGATCAGCTCTCTTGTTTCAATTTTTTTTTTAAATGATAGTTTCATTATTATAAGGACGACAAAAAAAAACTAAAACAAAGCGATCATTTTTTAAAATGATCGTTTTTTAAAAAGTTTGTTTTTTAAAACAGTCGTTTTGGAAACAATGGTATTTATAAAGCTCACTGTTTTGTTAACGATCCTTAACAACAACCTTTTGTTAACGATTTTTAACAAAGAGAGGAATAGAGAGGAAACCGCCTTGAAGGGCATCAGTACTAATCATTGAGCAGTTTTAAAGAAAATATTAAGAAATTTTTAGCTCCCCAACAACTTTTTACCTTCATATAAGATGACATTTGATAAAGTTGCATGTAATTTTTTCAAAAAATGATCGTTTTTTCAAAACGTACAGCATCCTAAATTAATATTCAAAATGATTAAAAAAATTATAATTAGCACCATATTCATAAATTCAGAATGTTTCCTGACAACATTTCCTTCCTTCCAGGAATGGATATGGATGAGTTGTTGGGCAGATGTCACTAAGTTCTTTGTCACCTTCCTGTTAAAGTACTAGGGGATATTTATTTATCTAAATGGTTTTTATCTAAGCATGACATTGAAGGATGTGTATTCATCCAAATTTGATGCTTTGTTTTTTATAGGAAAAATTCACTACAAAAGTAAAATAAAGATATAAAATATGTCTTAATAGCTAAATCATTTCTTCCTTAACTTATAATGTTCAGTGAGCCACACTGTGTATGATGTTCAACAAAAATTATCAACAATTTATAGACATATTTACCTTTATTAGGACTCGATGTTTCACTTTCACTTTAAGACAAGTGAAAATAATGTATCTTTAAATAAATCTCAATAAGGGAGATTATCACTTGGGAATGTGTTACCATCAAAGACAGGTGTCCATTAATAAAGTGTTCTAGCAAAATTGAAACCTGGTTAAAGGTTTAGTGGCAAGAACAGCCACCTGGCAAATTGACAACTGCCATCTGGCAACTCATTCATATAAAAAAATGGCCCTATGTTAATTGTCACTAGGAACTAAGTACCTTACATGTATATTTTACAGTGTTCCACTGAATGTCGTTAACGATAAAGATAGAATGAAAATAGTTTGAAGAAACTCTTCTGCATATTAACAACTTCAACCCAGCTCATGATGAATTTAATTTTTTAGACCATAGAGGAAAAACTGTCATATTCAATATATTTTCTAGGAAGGTTAGATCTTATAATTGTTTCCTCCTATTTTTACATCTTGATTCCTCAAAACAATATTTGCATAGGAATTTGACAGAGAGCAAGTTTAATCTTTAAAATGAATGATTAATTTCTTTTCTCAAAGAATAAATATAAATCTTGTTTTAACCAATGTCCGAGTTAATTATTTTCTCCTGGAGATGGTGAACTTGGTGTCAGATTATCAGCATAGGCCATCTCACATAGTCCATCCTCCCTATAATCTCAGAATTACTTGGAACTAAATCATCATAAATTACTGGAATTTAGAATCCATTTTTCTAAACAGGAATATTTTTCTTAAAAACACAGATACATAAGAAATTGGTAGCATGGCAAACTTACCTGTAAAGGAAAGAATTGTACAGTGATCCCAGGCGAAGAGAAGATGCACACTGAAATTCAGATTTATAATCAAACTTTCATAGCTTTGAAAAAAGGGTGGGAACCCAATGTCGTTGGTATATTGGATTCTAGCTTAAAGGAATAACACTAAGCTTTAAAAGTTAGAGTACCTTTAGGTGAATGGTAAAATATGAAGAAAGTCAACATTTTTGCAAAGTGACAACTTAGACAGGTCAAAAACCACTCCCAGGGATGAGTTTAACTTGTATTTGCAAAAATTATTGTTTTCCTTACAGCATGTTTTTAACACCCACTTTTAATGTGAATGATATATGCTTTAAATTGGGACTTAGAGGCATTCAATAAATCAAAGCAACATCATGTAATGGAATATAGATCATAGGCAAAGTTACCTCAACTGGAGACCTGAATCTTTGTGTACCGACAACACTTCTGGTTTTCCAGAACTCCTGGCTGACTTCTCTTGGTCCAAAAGTGTAGGATCTTTTCTTTTCCATCTCCCCCCAGCACTTTTTCATTTAAAGTTATTGTTGTAATAACATTTTTATCTTGCATTTTAATATGAGTTAATGGTAGTTTTAAGTTGATTAGCTTTAGTAACCTTGGTATTGGAGCAATCTTTTGGCAATTAATGTAAAATAACTTTTCCTGAGAAATAAGAAGGAGAAACAGAATACTTCTTTTTTCTAGCAGTAACATTCTGTTTGTCTGATAACAAGTTGGGGATTTTTTTTGTAAGTGTCTTTTTAAATTAAATCGTTACACATGGAATGCAAATGGTGCACTGCAACCTGGAAATTAAAGAGGCCAAGGTATAATTATTTACCTATTACCTTATACCCAGTATATTTGTTTTTAAATTTTATCATATTGTGGAGGAGCTAGAAAGTTGTCTTCCATTTGCGATCCTTAAAAAACCAAACCCAATTTTTATATAGTTTGTTTATCTAAATGTTGTAAATTAGATTTCAATATGCCTTTAGTCCTGTTATTTCTCTTGTCATTCTTCGTTGCTACAATATTTTATTTTCGTTTAAAAGGAAATAAGATTTTAAGCATGGAATAGGGTTAAAAATCTAAACCATTTACAATAAAATTAACAAAATTTACAGAAAAAAAGCTATCAATATTTAACTAATTTAAGTATGAATTAACTTTTTGGGGATAAAATCTTGCTATTAAAGATACAATTTTTCCAACTACATAACAAAATCATAACACTTATAAATCCCTGATATACACATACCTACGCTAATTATGCTTTAAGACCCAAGATGGCCTTGAGAATACTTGGCAGTGCAAAATTCCCTCCTATATTTGATACATCCCTATTTCCCTCCCTGTAATGAAGAGATTACTAGTCATTATTTATGAAATTATTATATATTATGAAATTGCTTTGGGCTTAAGGAAATTGTGGGCCTAATTTTGAATTGAATGAAAAAATGAAAATTGTTGTTCTTAACTGGTAAAGTAAACAACCAGGCATTGTTGGGATCATTCAGTTTGAAAATGAAGAAATAGATGGAACATGAATGCTAATTCTGATTCATGGTTGTTAAAATACAAATATTTATAAGGTACTTAGGACTGTATCTTGATGAATTAAGTGTGTACCTTCATTAAAGTTCTAATTAGGACTGTATCTTGATGAAGTAAATGCCTACTTGAAAGTTCTAATTAGGACAGTAACTTGATGAAGTGTGTACCTTCATTAAAGTTCTAATTAGGACTGTAACTTGATATAGTGTATGCCTACCGAAAGGTACTAATTAGGACTGTAACTAGATATTGTGTGTACCTCGTTGAAAGTTCTAATTAGGACTGTAACTTGATATAGTGTATGCCTACTGGAAGGTACTAATTAGGACTGTAACTAGATAGTGTATGCCTACTTGAAGGTACTAATTAGGACTGTAACTTGATGAAGTGTATGCCTACTTGAAAGTACTAATTAGGACTGTAACTTAATGAAGCATATACCTACCTGAAAGTACTAATTAGGACTGTAACTTAATGAAGCATATACCTACCTGAAAGTACTAATTAGGACTGTAACTTAATGAAGCATATACCTACCTGAAAGTACTAATTAGGACTGTAACTTAATGAAGCATATACCTACCTGAAAGTACTAATTAGGACTGTAACTTAATGAAGCATATACCTACCTGAAAGTACTAATTAGGACTGTAACTTAATGAAGCATATACCTCCCTGAAATTACTAATTAGGACTGTAACTTGATGAAGCATATACCTACCTGAAAGTAATAATTAGGACTGTAACTTAATGAAGCATATACCTACTTGAAAGTACTAATTAGGAATGTAACTTAATGAAGCATATACCTACCTGAAAGTAATAATTAGGACTGTAACTTGATTAAGCATATACCTACTTAATTGAAAGTACTAATTAGGACTGTATCTTGATGAAGCATATGTCTACTTGAATTAGGACTGTATCTTGATGAAGCATATGTCTACTTGAATTAGGACTGTAACTTGATGAAGTGAGTACCTACTTGAAAGTACTAATTAGGACTGTATCTTGATGAAGCTTATACCTACTTGAATTAGGACTGTAACTTAATGAAGCATATACCTACTTGAAAGTACTAATTAGGACTGTAACTTGATGAAGCATATACCTACTTGAAAGTACTAATTAGGGCTGTATCTTGATGAAGCTTATACCTACTTGAATTAGAGCTGTAACTTAATGAAGCATATACCTACTTGAAAGTACTAATCAGGACAGTAACTTAATGAAGCATATACCTACTTGAAAGTACTAATTAGGACTGTAACTTGATGAAGCATATACCTACTTGAAAGTACTAATTAGGACCGTATCTTGATGAAGCATATGTCTACTTGAATTAGGACTGTATCTTGATAAAGCATATGTCTACTTGAATTAGGACTGTAACTTGATGAAGTGAGAACCTACTTGAAAGTCCTAATTATGACTGGAAGCCAAGGTGGAAACCTCGTTGCAAGGTTTATAAAAAATAAATTTCATTAAAAGTTGGACAGCCATAAGTTTAATTGTTTATGACAACATTTGCACAACAATTTAACTCAAGCGAAATGACCTCGTTCTCTAACTGTAAAATAATATTGTTATAAAATTCGTGGGAGGTTTTTAACTTAAATTTTCAAACGAATTGATAAATGTAAAACTCTAATATTCTTTCTAAATTTCTAAATTTTAAAATAATTTCACTTTATACTAATTTTTACTCAAAAATATTGACGCAGCACTTCCAAACCGCAAAGTTTCCTTTTTCAATTAATAAAAACAAATTCAAATCATAGAAAATTAGAGTACATTTCAAAGTGAGACCTCCATCTGGAAAATTGCATAAGTTCTATATTCTAGAATTTACACAACCTCACCTGGAAGCCTCCCTCTTGAAAAGCTCCCATTTTCATTTCTAAATCTGAAAAATTAGAGTTTATATAAGCACTTGTTTAAAAGTCAATATAAGTCAAAAGTCGTCGTGAAAGTGAGCCTTCCAGTTCCAGGCCTTACCAGGCCCGATGAAAACTCGGTGCAGCGCTCTACTCGTCTACCGCTCCCTCGCCGGGCCCTCGATTCATTCGGGCTCACTTGTACCAGGCCTGTATCACGTCTGTTCTAAAAGTTTAAACAGTTTTAAATGGACTATTCCTGACAATTTGGATGGATCGTCCAAATTGCTGTACTCGAAGGAATTAGGATGGTTTAGCCAGCCTCAGAGGTTCCTAGTGTACCTAGTTGGGGTTCCTAGTTTACCTAGTTGGGGTTCCTAGTGTACCTAGTTGGGGTTCCTAGTGTATCTAGTTGGGGTTCCTAGTTTACCTAGTTGGGGTTCCTTGTGTACCTAATTGGGGTTCCTAGTTTACTTAGTTAGGGTTCCTAGTTTACCTAGTTGGGGTTCCTAGTTTACCTTGTTGGGGTTCCAAGTGTACCAAGTTGGGGTTCCTAGTCTACCTAGTTGGGGTTCCTAGTTTACCTAGTTGGGGTTCCTAGTCCACCTAGTTGGGTTCCCTGGTTTACCTAGTTGGGGTTCCTAGTGTACCTAGTTGGGGTTCCTAGTGTACCTAGTTGGGGTTCCTAGTTTACCTAGTTGGGGTTCCTAGTCCACCTAGTTGGGGTTCCTTACCTAGTTGGGGTTCCTAGTGTACCTAGTTGGGGTTCCTAGTGTACCTAGTTGGGTCCATATAATTCCCAAAATAGGTGATTTTCTCGATCCCAAAAAAATTGTTTGCCCCCAACTTTAAAAAAAATGCCCCCAATTGTAAAAAAATGCCCCCAATTAAAAAACATTTTCAAATTCCACTAACACATTTGCACCCATTTGCCCCCAATTATAAAAAATACCTTCAATTAAAAAACATTTTCAAATTCCACTAACACATTTGCCCCCAATTGCCCCAAATTGGGAAAAAAATTGCCCCCAATTGTAAAAAATGCTCCTAATTAAAAAAACATTTTTATATTCCACTAACACATTT